GACATCAGCTGACATTGACAACATCAGCATAACCTCAAAGCAACACAGCAATATCCAAAGAAGCCTTTATAGCAGAAAAATCACAAGAACACATCTTTTGAATAATCCAACAGAATTATTTATTTCTACACAACAGTGCAATATTATTATAATTGTTTACACTCATTAAACCTTGTTTTAATACAAATATATTATATTTTTCAGCCTTGTACGTTATTGATTTCCTTTAAAATTATCCTGCCGAGAGACTAATCCAGTGAACTATTGAATTGGCAGTTCGAGCCATAAGCTAACCCTTTAAATCCGAACAGTAAGTGTGCACTATTTTTTCTAGCAGGCCTGTACGATGTCGAGGGTTAGTTCGAGAGAGCGTAAGTGTGCCCTGTGTGTGCTAGCGGGCCTGTACGATGTCGAGAGAGCCTAAGTGTGCCCGATTTATTCTTGTGCGAGATGTGACTAGTTTATTTATTAATATAAAGGTATACCTTGTGAGCTGCAGGCAAGGTGTATTACTGCTGCGTTATTGATGTCCCCTTTGATTACTATTCCCATTGGCTTCACTGTAATCAACACTAAATCTGCCGATTTTCCTTCATTAATGCACACGTGTATTGTTTACTTTAATACTGAATTTAAGGCCATGTGTTGTCTTCACAGTATACTGAAACACTGAGCGGCAATTACACTTGATTGAGCGCGAAGTGAGATTACAATGAGCGTCGCCACATGGCGAGCTGCGCTTAAATATGCATGCAGCGGATGCAACGCCAGCAACAGTGCCAGCAACAGTGTAGTTATTTAAATCTATTAATTCTATCAATTGAGAAATAAAATATTGTTGAGAATTCCAGTCATCTAGTGGTCGAAGGACCAACATGGTTGGATCAGATTATGACCACCAGTTCACTGGTGGGAGAAAGTGAGGATAAGTGGAAGGGGTAGTGCTTCTTCAATTCAGTAATTAATAATCTGTTTTTCGTGCTGATCTTTGCGTTTATTTTACAATTACACTATAATGATTCTCAGTTGATGATGCGAGTCGATGTAATCCTTGCAGTTCTTGAGTGATTTCCACTTGGTGGTAGCATGCACTACATGTCAAGGTAGCAGGTCGTAAATCTCCAGATCATCATGACGTAATGTAATTGGTGCTGGGTTACCTCACTGAGAAATGAGAGGTCGTAAATGTCTCTATCTATTGTTGTAGTACTACTTGGTGGTGTCTTATGGAGAATAAACAGGGTTGCGTAATAGTGTGGCAAGGGTTACTCCGTAAAACAGGGTAACGTAATGGTACTGCAAGAGTGTGTGGTTGCACTGCAATACGGAGTTGCGTATGGTGCGGAAATATGTGTGGGGTGATCGTATTAGTGATTACTTGTGAATCCCTTGTGTATTTTTTGGGCTTACTGGTCGAGGTTGGATACAGAGAGTGTGATCTATCAAGATGCGTGAGAATCCCTTAATCTTTAGAAGTGGAGGGTGATGCAATGCTCCTTCAGCACCTTCTCCTTGCAGGTCTGGTTCTTGAATTCTTGGATAATTAATAGCGTGTATTCTCCTTGGCTGTTCAGATGATAGTAGCCCATTGAATACACACACGAAGTGGAAGGCGTGTTCACTCCGTGGCGGCTCTGCTAATACAGAGCATCTGTTCCATGATCATCCTGCTAAGAAAGACAGTGTTCCGAGTCGAGACGACTAAAAGAGAGCGAGGCTTGTAGCATGCTTGCTTTATATATCCATGCGACAGTTTAGGTAGATGGCAACAATGGATAGATGTTGCTATGCAGTGACTAAACTAACTTGCAGACGTTCGAAAATATAGCTTTAGAAATTTCTAGAACTCTGGGAAACCATGCTTTAGAAACGTCGAAGAATTCCAACCAATGTTGCAATGCGAAGACTAGATAAATATTGTAGAACGTTTGAAAGCAAGGTTTTTGAATATTCGCGACTACTTGGAATCAAATATTTACAAAAATTCGAGAGTTAGAAGGATTATAAATTCCGAGAATCAAAGGTGTTGGAAAGTGCTCCAATCCTGAACAATATGTTTTTCTTGTACACATGTTCGAGAATGCGAGAACATTTTTTCTTTTTGTCAGTGCAATAAAACATCCGGCAAGTAACATCGTAAAATTTGTATTTAGATTTCAAAACTTTTTTGCTCGCAATTATCAAGCACTAGTGTCCTAAAACATATGGAAAAACAATACAATAAACACGGGAAAAATCTATAGTTAGACATCTGCATTTTCGTTCCGCTCGGTAACCACTTCAAGTATACTACGATACCCCATCTCAAAATTCAAAAGACGACTAGGCCCTTAATTAGCTCTGAAGCTACAAGAGGCGCTGTCCTCGCACTGAAAGGGAGGAGTCTCTGATTGGACGAAAAATAAGGGAAGGGATTCAAGTCAAATTCATGGTCAGCAAATATATTTAAGGGCTGCATTTTTCAATACTCATCACTCTTGGTATTGCTCTCTTGATATTCGACTCTTGAGATTACATTCTTAATATTACACCCTCGATATAGTATACTCTTGATATAGTTCATACTCAGTTAAGTGTCTAGTGAAAGTCCATTAACGCTGTTACGTGAACAGTAGGTACAAGTCCTGGAACAACGACGACATACATCGTATGTCCATTAACGCAGTTCAAGCAACAGTAGTTACAAGCCCCGGAAGAACGACGACATAAGCCCGTTTGTCCACTAACGCAGTTCAAGAAACCGTCGTTACATGTTCAATGGGAGTGACGACAATCCGCATATTAGAGTCTGGAGACGAGTCAACGATTAGTCTTCGTAAGTAGTATTATTATTACTACAATAATTACATATATTTGAGATTCAGATTATTACATCGACAAGCAACTAAGGGCGAAGAAGCTCCTCCTAGAACGACAGTGCGGAATAGATTCCAATACGCGTCGTCAAGTTCGCGCCCAAAAAAGGGGCGTCTCTTTCGGCAACCTTCACCTTAGTTCTAGCTCGGATGCTTATGAAATTAAACACCAATTAGCGCAACAAATCTAGTTTCGCGCCATTCGCCATTCGTATTCAAGAAATCAAGCTACATAGATTACTGTACAGTTGTCTCCGCAACGCATCACTTCAATCCAAGAATTTAGTTCTACAAGTAATAATAGGAATACTAGTCAACCTTGTCATTAATAAATAACAGAATAAATAGCATACTTCAGCCATATCTTTATTGTATTATTATAATATCCCTTCCACTTGTGATCTGTCATCGCTACCACACAACACCCGTGGTCTCTGAGTTGTCAACGGCATCAAATTATATCTGTCGAACCGGCCTTGATAAAACAAGTCGGAACGACGAGATGCATGTTGTACAATACATAATACTATAGTATGTGCTATATATATAATAATATATTATGAATAATATTACAATACATTATATTACATAATATATTATACACAATATTATATTATTTTATATACAGTACTATTTCATATGCAATATTGTTCGAAACAGGTTGATTTCTTGGCTCGAACTACCAATGATTCGATAGTTTTATAATAATTTGCCGCCCGCCCCAGTAGATGCTTGGAAAGGAGTCAAGTAGTAGAGTTGTCGAAATGTGTAGTACTTGCTGACTTCGTTAAAATATGGTTTCTTAACAGTTACATTACTAAAAAGCAGTATTCACTTTTCTTAGAAGAGTGTAAACTTTGTCTTGTCGTAACAATGTGGTTGCTCTTTGATGGTAACGATGTTGTTGCTGATTTTGTAACGATCAGCAATGGATGATGCATGCCCCTTAGTAAGAAGCATGTCCTTTCTTCTGTAGATGTCGTGATGTCTGCTTATATTGTAAGGATTAGTAGTAATATGTGCATACTCCTACATAAGACACATGGACTGAATGCTATTAAAAGCTGGTCTTTGTTAATGTTGTAAAGATTAGCAAAGATATGCGCTACATGTGAAAATGGCATGTAGCCTGAAAGCATATAAAATGAAAGTGGCGTGTAGCCTGAAAACTTATACTGTGGCGTCTGCTATAGTTGCAAAGATTAGCAGTGATCGGAATTGAGGCAGTTTTTTAATTCAAATTTATAATTGGAAGCAATTCCAGGAATTCTTCCCACTTCATAGCGTCTAATATACGACAATGCATAGCAAAATCTTAACGGTTTTCGGCATAGCAACAGGCTATGGCGCTGTTGTCGGCATCGCAAACTATATCGCGAATATTTAAGAGCAGCGCGCCACGCGCCGCGCCACTGTACGTTTAACATCTATTCAGTCACTACACATCTGGCTCACGATTTTTTCTACTATCAATTCAGTTTAGTGCTTATGGTAATTCTACACCTCGTACATTAATTGTTAGTATTAGTTAGTGCATGTCACATCGGTGTCACTTGCGCCAGCACGAACTTCAATTGAAATCTCCGACAATCAAGAATACAAGAAAGAACTCGCACCACTACAATACAATAATTCTTTATCTAAATAGAAGCAACTAACAACGCTACAATATTATAATTCATAAGCAGAATAAATAATAATTGAACTCAAATATATTACATTATACTTTTCAGACTTTCCATTTGTGCCTTTTTTCTTCCTAATCGCTATGGCGAGAGATTAATCCACTGAACTATTGAAATGGAAGTTCGAGCCATAAAATAAAACATTAATTTTTGAACTAGCAGTAATATGCATACAATCCTGGACTATGCTTCATGTAGCCGTATAGTTTCTCGTAATACAGTCAGCACCCTTAACTGGCTGATGGCTTCATTGCGTGAGTGTAACTGATTGACTGGTATATAGCAGAAAGCACTGGCTGAATATCGTAGTTGAATAGTAGAACGACTGATAAACTGACTGACTGACTAAATTACAATGAGCGCCTAAGTGTAGTTGGCTTCCTTTAGATATCTGCCTGGCAGCTTGCTCAGCTTGCAGCAATGCATAGGTGTTGCTATGCGGGAACCTTACATAACGCGTTAAAGTAAAATTCTAGAAGTTTCGAGAACCCTATGAAAAGCAAGGCTTTAGAAATTTGAAGAATTCCAATCGAAGCCATTCAGCCAGAGTTTACAGCTATAATCTAGAGTTAGAATTAACTAGGAGACCACGAGATGTTAATTGAGAGAAATGTACAGGCAAGTGGAAGGGATAGCGTATTACTTCAACATTTAATACATCTGTTTGTTATGCCGTTGTTATGTTGTTATTCCGTTAATTTCTAGATACAGGAATGATTCTTGTTGATGACATCAATCGATGAACTCTTCGGTTCTGGGCAGTTGACACTTGCGTTAGCATGCACCTTAATCAGAGGTAGGAGGTCGTAAATTTCCTGAACCTCTTGACGTAATGCACTGGTGCTGTTCCCTAGGAAATGAGAGGTTGCAATGATAGTTGTAATAGATAGGTTGTAACGATGTTACATTATTAATACAGCGGCGTATTGTATATGCGGTGCTTCGTGCTTGGACACGTGCGGTTTTTGATGATTCTGCTAGATGAGCGCTGAGTAGCGTAAAGATTGGCTTGCCGATGTGTACCACGTGCGCGTGTGGGGCACGTGCGTGATTAGAGGTTAGGATCGGTAAGGTGGGCACTAAATGGAATGAAGATTAGCTTCGTGCGTATGGGGCACTAGCGAGATTTTGCTTGGGTACAGGCAGTAGAATCTAATTAGAATTAAGATAATGTTGCGTGTACCTTAAAAGCGACCTTGATCCTTTAAATGTGCTCGATGTCTTAGCTCCTGGAGCGACCTTGATTGGGAGACGATGGCTATGACGCCTTGAGTAGATGAGACTACAAGCGAAGACTTATTTTCGGACTCGAATGAAGGAACTTTATTACCACTTCCATTTTCTATGAGAACTTCAATGTGAGTGCTTGAATCTATGGTTGTCTCTTTTAAATACATTCACTAACCATGGTATCCAGTTGGGATCCCTTCCTATATTTTGTGTCCAATTATAGAGCAAGAGCAGCGCCTTTCATGGCATCATCTGCAATTACAAAGCTTAGTCTTCTGTTGGTCTTCACGCCAAAAAGAGCTCTCGATCTTATAGACCTCGACGCCTCTGGTAGTCGCATGACACCTTGACAACAAGAGGGGTGGAGGCAGTACATACCGTTAGAATTCAGATTTTCGGGCATGCATTTTCTTGCAGCTGCCTAATGAGTTCGGTTTTCCAGTCTTACAACTTGTTTTGTCAGATGCTTAATGATACTACTGTCAGATGTTTTATGGGCAGGACTTATCAGAGGTCTAACGACAATTTAACGATGTTGTTTTGCCAGATGTTTTATAGCATAGGAAAAGGTTCTCGCAATCTCGAACAATGTACATTTCCTTATATCAAAATCTTACATTTTACACTATTAATAATGTAATGTTCGAGATTGCGAGAAAAGTTTCTTGCCACGACTTCCCACGGTCGCTGTACACTCGAGACGGTAAATACATCTGAAAAACTCCAGTGAATAGTTAGCTTATTTACTCTTGCTTATCTAAAAACGTGCTCATGCTTTTTCGGTGCAGTCAAACTAATTTGTTGTTTACTGCCAAGAAGACGTAGATTCTGAAAGAGTATCAGATATACGTAAAATTGACGTACGCCACATTGGTGGCGTACATTTCCGCAACGATCAATTGTTTACTCCACACAGTGGCGCTTTCATTTCCTCTAACCTCTAATTTAGGCACGTGCTCACTCATACGGCCCATTATTCTGAAGCAATTGTAACACGTGTCAAGTTGCGATACGGCTAAAATGTTAACGTTCGGTCAGAGCACAACAAACGATCATAACCTCTCAAGTGATAATATTCAATATACTATAACCTATTTCTTTTCACAGTAAATCATAATTTCACCAGTTGCATGCAGAGAATAAGGAATTGATCAACCTCTAGTTAACCAATAAAAGTATATCACAACGCCACATGATTATTGAGAAACATAAAGGTCATTTGTAATCTCATCACGATTAATCATCCCGACTTGGAATGAAATTGAAATTAAATGGAATAAACAGCAGAAAGAATTATATGTGTAAATTATTAAATCAGTGCATTAACCTTTCACTTGCCCACGCATTCTTCCACACAACATCTAGTGGTTTCTTAGTTAATTCTACACGTTTGGCTGACGAGTCGGATTAGTGGAATTAATTTTTTGAACATGTACTATTAGGTATATTTTTTGCACTTTTCATTGTAGATAACAGGTCTAATTCCTATGAGTAATAGGTTTAATTATATGTAATTAAATATTTTTAATTTACATTTATTTGAAAAGATTAACTTTATTTATTTAAAAGTTACTATAAATAATACAGATATTTTATTTTTATTAAATTTTATTTAAATAGTTGTATAACAGAATGTATTTAAAAAATTACAAAACAAAATTATTATATTTTTATATTTTTTATACAAAGAATTCTTTTATCCCATACGGATTCTAATATGAATTTAAAATTTTAATATATATTTTATATTTATTTTTTATTTTGTTGAAATAATAACTTTTGAAAGAAATAAAAATTTTTTAAAGAATCACGTTTGTATGTGTAACATATAAACTTCTTGAAAAATAAAATAAACATATTTCGTTAAGTAGAAAAACTATTTAAATATAGAGGTGGGAGATATATATATATCTGTATTAAAGGCATATATATATATATATATGCCTTTAATACAGATATATATATATCTGTATTAAAGGCATATATATATATATATAATTTATAAGTACAAAATAAACATATAGATAATGATAAAAATTCTTTAATGAAGGAGAAATAGAAATCAGTTTTATTATTACAAAATATAATTTTTACAATAAAATATATAATATATTTCATGTTAAGAAAAATTATTGTTTCTATGTTTGTATAAAAATAAATGTAAAATATATAATTATTTTTGATATTCATACTAAAACTATTTACTCAAAATTATAAATGAATGTTTGTACGATCATTAATCTGTCTTTTCAAATTCATTTTGCTTCATGAGATTTGGTTTCGCTTACGCCAGCCTGTAACATTCTTAGAATAATAATATCTATATATATATTTTTTAATAATATTCCCCTTAGATTTCCATCTAAAAAAGTATTAAAATTTACTAGTAATTGTTTAGCCGGCTGTGCTTGTAGATATGCATTATCCTTAATTAACGTAATAATTAAACAAAATTCTAATGAACGAGCAAGTCATTACAAATTTTAACATGTACAAGAAAATACGTTTTTTAATGGAATAAATATTTTAAATTTAAGATTTGCATATTAGCAAAGAACATATATTGATTGTATAATTGTAATGGAAGGTATAATTATTTATAAATAGAGAATGAAATTAATTATTTTGAAATAATGAATTTTCAATTAAATGCGCTTTGTAAAAAAAAACTGTATTTTAATGGATTCATATTATTATAAGTAGAATAACAAAATTGTTTTTTTGCGCTTAAAGACGCAATTTGTAAAATTAAATAATTATTTTTATATAATCTGTAGTGATTATTTAAATGATTAATATAACATTTTTTTATTGTTTATTTGATATTTTCAATATTTTATTTTCATTACTCTACATTGAATCAATTATTAAATGGCTCGAAGAAAATCTGATAGGTAGGTATGTTAACAAATTATTTTATAATTATGTAGTAATAAATTTCTCTTTGAATACATTTATAGACCAACATCTAATTCCTCTATGGTTACAAGAATCAGTATTTCTAGTAATAAAATACATCGATCAATAGTTTTAGTTAATAAATACAAAAGGTCTTTGAAAGACCGTATTTTACAAGAAATAAAAAATTTACAAAAAAGTACAAAACTACTTATTGCAAGGGCACCATTTGTAAGACTAGTGCGGCAAATTTTAAATGAAATTTTCCCAAGTCATAATGTTCAAAAGTAAATTTGAAATATATTAAACATTTACATATGAAAATCATGTTATTTGCATCTTATAAATATTTAAAAAGATATCATTTTATTAAAATAAGAAAAATAATAGACATAGTAAAAAATAAATTAAAATTATAGAAAATTTTTCATTTATCAAATTTTATCTTAAATATATAACTATTTTAATTTTCTAATTACAATGTATTTAACCTATTTTTTATTAATATCTTATGAAATCAATTTTTAGTGGCTTTTCTGATTAACTATTATATGCATCTGCAATACACCTTGAACTAATTTTTACTTTAATGTAATGCAACATATTATTCTATAAATAATATAAATATTTGATAAACTACATAACAAATATACAAAGAAAATTATAGTTTTTAGAACTGTAAAATTTAATAATTAATTATTCTGTAATTTTATTAAAAAGATGTTTGATAAGAATAATAATATATCTTTTAATGACATATAATTACTTAAAATAAATAACTATTCTATTGATTCTCAGTATTCTTAGTTTGGAATGTTAGTTACATATAATTGAAAAATATTCATTTAATACTAATATAAAGCATTTGTATATTGTAATATACATTATATATTAAATTTTCTATAAAGTAGATTTTAAAAACTTCATTTTATTAGTGTTCACTATTATAACACTCCCTTTTATAATACAGAATTTACAAAAATTTTAAATTATACTAATTAGAATATATAGTGAAAAAAATGTTTAAATAAGATCATTACTTATGTTATGTTTTTAATTAACCAAATTATGCTTTTTTTTATAATTGTTTTTAGAAAACAGAGTTTAAACATAGGCTATAGTATTTTCTATGATTGGAAATGTCTTGTAATTTAATTCTTTACAAAGTTAATATTTTATAATATTCTTTAATAAAAATAGAAATTATAATCACAAAATTATTTCAAATGTCAAGATTATTTGAAAATTATTAAACAATTCATATTATCTAAAAATAATATAATTAATTGTAATTTTAACAATTTATATACTTATGAGAATTATTATATTATTAGTTATGGTAAAGTTTTATTAATCTTTAAATTATCTTTTAATGTATATATTTATAAATATTTTTTTAATGAATTTATTGCAGATAATATAATGTTATAATAATAAAATAATGAGAACAAAATAAGAGAATATAGATAATAGATTTACAAAATATGTACAATTAGAAAAAAAATCCTTTCCAAATAGTTGTATTGTCAAAATTGCTATTAATTATAATTTTTCTTTACAGTTTACAAACTGGTGCATTAGAGGCTTTACAGGAATCTGCTGAAATGTATATAGTTCAATATTTCGAAGATGCTACTTTGCTTTGCTTACATACGAAACGAATTACATTAATGCAGAAAGATATGGAACTTTTAAGGCGATTACGAGGACGAAATGATATAATTAATAAATAATGTGATTTCAATATAATTATAAAATTCTTTTGAAAATATAAAAGCATATATAAAGCAAAAATATTTTTAAAATATTTATAATCAAAATTGTTATAAATAATTTCGATTTTTTATCTGAAAACAATTTAATAATTGTAATTTTTTATATAAATTTATTATACATAATTTTTACTTGTAATATATATCCTTTACATCTTGCAAATTTTTCAGACATTTCTTGTTCTTAAATGCAAATTCCTAATAATACATCAATGTTTGATTATTTGAATACAAATCTAATTTTTTACAAATTTTCTACTACAAATTAATCCATTAATTAATATTGTACAAAATTTAAGTTTCTGAAATTATTGACCACATTCACAAATATTTAAGTACACATTAACTACAAATTACATTGTAAATAAATATGGCATTAATATTTCAAATTTGTTGAATCTATAAAAGAGATCTTTATTCTTGCAATAAAAATATTTAAAATAATGTATATATATCTCTGAGCACTGAACAATTATTTCATTTCAACAAATTGTTAAAAATTTAATTTTATCTACTTTAGGAAAATTAACTTTCTGATATTTTTTCCAAGATAGTTCTGGGATATTGTATTAATTCCCATTTTAAATAATTTGATTCATTCACACAAATAATCTGTATATATATTACAAATTATGGAACTTATTAAACTTGAATTAAGCACTTTTAAGTATTTTAAATTGTATTAATGAAAATTAACTACATACAGAAGCTTCAAAAAAATTGAAATTTATTTTCTTCATTTATTAGTTAAGCTGTTGCTGACTTGTAAAATTTGTTCAATTTGTAAAATAAACTGATAAAAATCGTAAATATACAAAATATAACCTTAGAAAACATCATGAGAAAAATAATTCTTCTAGCTACCATTGTTTAAAAACTTTGCCAGCTTTCTTTAAACAAATTGAAGTAACAAAATTTATTAATGAATTCAGTTTCATTTATAAAAATAGTCGACCCCCCTTAACTCAATTTTTGAATGTATAGTATTACTATTAAAGTATATCATTAGCTATAAGATATAAATTTGAAAAGAATATAGAAACAAATTTTAGTAATTAGATTTATATTATATATGAATTGTAAATATAAACAAATATAAAACATAAGTGATTTTAAAATCATTCATTTTTTATTTGTACAAATATTTGTGTTTGAATTGGTAAGGAACTGTATTTAATAAATTAATTACTTTTTTAATTAACTTAAAATTGCTTACAATATTAATAAGTTTATCTAATTATTTATCTCACTTTTCATCATCAGTATTCTATATATCTTTAAATATCTGTACATTCTTTTTATAGAACATTTAATAATCAAATTTATTATATGCTTGCATTATGAATAATACTATCATTTATTATATACTCATATATTTAATTAATTGAAACCATTTCATCTCTAAATGCAAGAGCTGAAATAACCTTTTGGTGTCCTCGATATTCTCGCTTAAGACTTCCAGTTGCTATGTTCCATAAACGTGCAACACTATCTGATGATGCTATTAGAAAAATGTTATTAACTAGAATATTTTGTTTATAAAAATGATAAAATAGATGAAAAATTAACTTATGAACCTGTAAATATGTACTGTGAATCAGCACTAAATGCTACATCCCAAACCCATCTTTTAGTTTCATGTTGAAATACTTGCACCTCAGAAAAATCTGTTGTTCTCCATATTCTAGCAGTCTGATCAGCAGCGGTTGTAACAAGCAATCTAAAAAATATAATAATAAATTAAGAAATAATATACAATTAATTTGTAAAAAACTTTTAATTATTTATATGTCTTTATGTAAAATTATAAATTTTATAATATAAAAGATTATTAAAATATACGAATACGTAATTATAATTATTCCACAAAAAAAGAATAAAAAAATTCACTATTTTTGTTCACTATATTGATAAATTAATCTTACGTAGAATCTGGACTAAATTTACAAGCAAGAGCATGCCCTTTATGTGCATTAATTTTATGACGAGGATTTAATTTTGTAGGTTCTTCTCCATTACCACTAGTAAGTGTCCAAATAAAGCAATTTCCTTTATTATTAACAGCAGACATGTACATTCCATCAGTATCTACTGCTATATCTTGTATTGATGTTTCTGTTTCAGGAATCTATAAATATTTTCATTTAAAAATCCATTTTACTGAATATCTATTTAACAATATATGGTCATTGTAATTAAATTAAATACCAACTGCTCATTGTGATCCGATCGAAGATCCCATAAATGAATTACACCACTTTGATCACCAACAATTAATTCTGCTTGATTTGGATGTAAAAAAACACAATTGACAGGTGCGGATACTTGAAATATTCGCTGACATTGAAAATTGCTTGATCTAAACATAATGTATAAAGTAGTAAAATCATTCAATTAAATTTTATTTTTACATTTTATAATACGTAATTAAATAAATCTTTAAAATATCAATCTTTTCAAATTTTTTAATTTCTGTTTGAACTTATCTAAAATTACGATATAATTCTTTATTTTCTTTATATATTCAGTACTACTAAATCATATTACTTTAATAATACTTTATTAAATCTTAATAATCATTAAATTAAAATATTATTTAAAATGCATTAACTAGTACGTAATTAATATATAACATAAATTTATATAATATTCTTGATTGGAAGTATTGATATAATTTAAGATTATTAGGTTCATCTAGTCACTTTTTTAAAATTTAAATTAAAATAAATTATTAATAAATTAATTTACAATTCTCGATTTTCGATATTCCAAACAAAAATTATATTACATAGTTTGTTATTATTAACATTAATCGATATTTATATTTGTATATAAAATTTAATAAAATAACAATAGTAATTTGTAAAAATAGTATAGTAATGACATGCTAGATATTAAAATATAGAATATAGAACGTGATGCTACCATTAGTAATTATTTTTAATTCTATTTAATTTTATATTTCTATCATTCAAAAATATCTTACAATAAAACTGGCAATCATATATTGTAAACTATATTATGTATGTGTTTTTTTAAATACATTGTGAGATTTAGTCTTAAATAATAGATGAATGACCAAGAATTATAACATATAAGTAAATATGAAGCTTACACTCTATTTCTTTTCATTATTATTGATTTTTATCAATATTAACAATTTTATTTATTAATATTATTTTTAGAATGCATGATTTAATTATCTCTTTTTGTTTAAATACAATAATTTTGTACTCAATTCAAAAAATTATTTGATTTCATTATTAATAGGGTGTATAAAATTTGATGTATAATTTGATGTATGTAAATCAAGTTCATTAGTTTTCACTTTTATAGTTAACAATTTATTTAAAAATGTATTAATAGTACAAGAATTTCTTAATCGTCTATTCATTCATCATCATATATCTAAAAATTGTTTACACATAAAACAGCCAACCACTGTCTTTTCATAAATTTACAGCATTATTACTTCTAATAACCCATACTACTTTGTAAATAAAAAGCCCCATTTAAGTATATCCACATAGTATTAATAATCTTGAATTCTTCCATTTATATTATTAGAATGGCAAAATTATAAGTGGTATATTAAATATATTTTCAAATATAGTTTTCATCATAATATAGTTTACAGTGCTTTAATAATAATTTACATTAGATGTAGTTGTAATATTTTTACAGAGTTAAAAAAAAATTAATTTTGTTATAGCTATAAATAGAAGACAGAACAACATTAAAACAATGACATACGTCTTTTAAATCAAAATATCTTTTATTTATGTTATTCGCAGATTAATACTTATATTAACTATTCTCAAGGTCAATATTCCAAAAAAGTTTAATAATAAAATAAAAATATACTAATAAAGAGGATAGTTGTCATTCTTCTTTTATTTATTTAAGGATTTATCATTGTTAATTTTACAAAACTAAAATTTTTATTAAAATATAAATCACAATCAATTTTCTAAAAAATAAGTACTTAATTTATATTTAAATTTATATCTCTGATATCAGGCACACTCTCGTAGTCTCTACAACACTTATGAATTACTAATAATTAAGAAAAAAGTTTTATATTTTATTAAATTTAAATTATTAATAATATACGATATATGACTAATGGGTAAAACTAATTTTTAATAATATTTATATCATTGACACTGATATAACTTTTACTAAAATCAATTACTAAGTTCCATAATTTTTTAGGCGTTGATAATATCAGTTAATTTGACAATACATCAAACACTCAAATAATCAAATATCAATTATATTAAATATATTATGTGTCAATAATTAAAATATTTACATTCATGCAATACATTTCTTTTTTAATTATTTGATTGAAAATTAATTTATTTTCCTAATAGGGTACATTACTATATATTATTGAATTTAAAATGTATTAGATATACTTTAAAAATTGTAAATAAATGAAGCATTTAGACAATGAAGTATTGATAAAGTCAAATTAACTTTTGAATATTTTTTATAGAAAATACAATAAATGCATCTTATTTTAGAAAGGGAAGCAGTATACACTTTCTTACCGTAAGTCCCAAATTCTTGCAGAACAATCTTCGCCACCTGTATACATCCATTTTCCTTCTTCCTATATTAAAATATGAAGTAATAAATAATAAAATAATTTTGCATGACGTTCTGTATATATAGGTTAACAAATACAGTAATTTAATTTTTTTTATAAATGTATTAAAAATAAAATGTTACTAAGGAAAAATAATTTAATTAATAAATAGTAATATAAATAAATAAATAGTAATAAATAATTCTGTTGCAATAATTAAAATATACTTAATTAATAATCCTAATTTATTTAATGATTTTTGTAGGTTATTTAAATGATTTTAGAAAATGATTTTAAAACGTTTAGCACACAAAAACATAGCAAATTTCAGCATTTACAAATTCAAAACTAATCAAAGCTAAATTACATAAAAAGATCATAGGTCATATTGATATGTTTGAATAGTAATGATGATTACTTCGAACGGTGAAACTTCAAAGCATTCCACAAAGTAGAAGTTTAGTTTTGTTTGTTAACGAATGAACATTATTCGAACTACACTCAATAAAATAATAGTCATGTTTTAGAATGTAATTATTAATTTACAGTTATTACAGACTATCATACCAAATTCATTGAGCATATTTTTCAGTTTAGTTTAATTTGAAAGATATCCAAAAGCCATAATAAAAACTTTATTTTTTTTTCAGTTTTCAAATTTTTCTATTCAACCCAGAAATATTTATTACAAATGATAATAAGAATACGATAATTGAATTGTAAAATTAGATTTTTCTAATTGATTTTCTTCTATATTTTTATATTATTAAACAATAAATATTCTAATGAAAATTAGACTGTACATTGATTCTATATATTTTAATTTTTATCAGTTCAAATCTATGCTCTATGGGACTCAAATCTTTCAAACATAGAAGACAAAGCTATATCAAGTATAACAAAATAATTTGAAATAAAATTATTCAAAAAACTGTACTATTATAATAAGTACATATATTAAATATTAAAATATAATTTTACTTTTTAAAATTATATTATTAAAATAATAAAATAAGTTAATATATACATATATATATATATATATATATATATATATAATATTCATTTTATATATATCAAAACATTACTGCATTAAATATTAATTTATTTCAAATTAAATATTAAATTAAAAAATTTTATATGGAAAAATTATGTAAAAAATAATAAAAACATAAAAAACTATACACAATTATAAATGTGTCATTATTAAAATTTTGTATACATTACCTATTTTTTAAATTTTTATAAATCTTTTATTTACTTTATTCAATAAAAATAATTATATATAATTTTCTCTTAAATGATAATCGGATTTAATAAAATGTAACTGTTACAAATTTATAAATATAAATAATATTAATATTATTTTTTATCTATAAATTATATAAAAATATTATAAATACCATACATACCTGAAATCCCAAACCACTGACATTTTTAGATACACCTTCAAAATTTATTACTGGATTTAAATTATTAGAATTTAAATCATACATTCGAATATGCTGGTAGCCTGCTGCAGCAATGACATATTTATTAGGTGTAATAGCTAAAGCATTAACTTGCTGCAATAAATATATATTAAATACCATTATTCATTTGTAAAAAACCATTTCATATTTTATAAATATATAGTATTTATTTTACTTTCATTTTACACATTTTAGTAAAGTACACAATACTTTTCTTTAATATTTTGACCAAAGTATGATTATAAGGTACCAAATTTATTATAATTTCCAAATAAATTCTAATGTTCTCACATAATAAATTATTTACATTAAGAAATAAAGTATTTAATTTATTGTTTTTTTTTATGATCTTAATATATATTTTTTATATTTTTTTTACTTTTAAAATATGTTATATATAGAATAAAAATTGATATAGTAAGGTGGATTTTTGTAAATAAATTGAATGCAGGTGTATTACAGAATCACTATGCTGTAAAGTTCGCTGACAATTTCCAGTATGTGCTTCCCAGATTTTAATAGTGTGGTCGTAGCCTCCAGTAACAAAAACTACTCGATCAGTATAAATATTAATATCATTCATTTTTTTACACGTTTAAAAAATTTAACTACCAAATATTAATTCATAATCCCCTTGATTATTACTACGTGCAAATAAAAATAACACTCATAAATACAACCCAAATTTCAGTAACGTATTGAAGATTAAACAAACTAACTTTTTCAAATCAACACAGAATCTTCGTAGCAATTTGCGCGAATTTTAAATATAGTTATGTCAATCAGTGAAATATGATAAGTTTACACGAATAATTATTATAGTTAAAATAATTATAAATAAAAAAAATAAATTAAAATTAAAATTAAAAAAAGTTTTTAATTTTTTATATAAATATTTCTATTTTATTATAAAAATTCTTATTAATTTATATAAATGATATTGTATTTAAAAGTTATGTGTGTGGTACCATTTTTTTATAGTAATTAAATATAATATTATTAAATAATATTGAAAATACTTATGTATATTATATATTTATAGTCTAAAATTAAAAAAAAAATAAATCAAAATACGTAGTTTTCAAATAAATTTTGTTAATAAATTCGTGACTAAATAAGTAATAAAATTAGAATTTTAATTGCGTATATCAACTAAAAAATTAATCTTATTGTTTGCTGATGTACTGACATATTTGTTACCATTTATATTTCATAATCTCTCGAAGGATTCTTATAACATGTTTACCGAAATAGAGGTAATACTCATTGACATAAAGTTTCTTATAATGAGGCCATTGTTTCAACACAGTTTAATACACAGATTTCAATACATTATATATATAATTTGCCATTTGTTAATAGGAGTAGATAAATATATAAATTATTTTTTTTTATTAATTAATTTATATTTAAATACAAAAATATATGTAAATTCAAAAAAAATTTCTAGCTATTCATAATTAGGAACAATATTTTTCCAGTATTAGTATTACTCAAACCTGTTTATACTGTAAATTACTCTTAAATAAGTCGAATTTCAAAGTTACAATTTTGATAAACAGTCCTTAAAAGATAATTTATATTTTTGAAATAGAAATCTTCACCATAGAAAACAGTATTATAAAAAAATTTTTAACTGAAAGTTACTTTATTTGATTCTATAAATACTATTATTTTTCTAAAATAGTTTCCTATATTCCCGCATTTTCGAAACGTCTTTGGAAGTTGTAATATTTCAATATTGTAATCTTTATTTCCTACTTATTTTTCCTGTTTTACTTCAGTTTCCGTTTAATTTATTTTTCATATTGAGCGCTTTATTCTAGAATATCAATATTAATCTTTTTAATATTTACTTTTTATATAGAGCAATTTATAATCATAACTTATGTAATTCTTGTATCCCATTTTAAATATTTGAATACTGTTCGAAAGTGGTATTATTTCCTGGTTCGATCCTTCAAATGTTTCGATAGCTTTAATAATTTGCCGGTTGCCCTAGCAGATGCTTGGGTGGGAGTCAAGTAGAAGAGTTGTAAAAATGTGTACTATGTGCAAACTTCGTTAACATATGGTTTATTAACAGTTACATTAATAATAAGCAGCATTTACTTCTCACAGAAGAGTGTAAGCTCTATCTTGTCTCAAGAATGTAGTTGATCTTTGAAGGTGACGATGTCGTGGTCTCTGCTAATTTTGTAAGGATTAACAGGAATATGCTCACACACCAGTATCATACGTGTGGCCTCAAAGTGTATGTATGTGCACACTTCACTATAGGACGTGTGGCCTCAAAATATGTATGCACACACGCCTGTATAAGATGTGTGGCCTCAAAGTGTATGTATGCACATACCTTGAAACTATGTTTGTTGTAGCCATATGATTTTTCATAATGCAGTCAGCACCCTTGACTGATTGTAAATTGTAGCACACTTGATAATTAAAACGTGTATTCTTTGGGATAGCTTCATTGAGTGAGTGCAGGACAAAAATCACTGGCTGAATAGCGTAATGACTGATAAGTGTTTTACTGACTAAATTACAATGAGCTTGTTGAATACGCACACGAAAACTGAAGGCTTGTTCGTTCCGTGGCGTCTTCACTGAGAGGGTTACAATGAGAGAATTTCACTAAGAGAGTTTTTCTGAAAGAGTTTCACTGAGAGAGTGTGAGACTCATCGCGTGATTGCCTTATATATCCACGCAGCAGCTTATTCAGCTGAAAACAAAGAAAAAACAAGATTTAAGAAATTTGGAGAATTCCGAGCGATGTTACTATTCGAAGCCATATAAACATTGTAGACAATATGAAACCAAAACATAATAATTACACGAAAATTCTGATATCCGAGAATTTAATATTTAAAAAATCTAAGAAAATTTAATTACTTATCAACTAAAAATATGGTATTATTTTTTCGTTTTAAATTATAATATACTGAAATAAAATCAAATAACTCGTAACAAATAAACTAATGCAACATAATAATAACGGTATTTCTTGAGGAAATTAATCCTCTAATCGCATGAGTTCAAATGTTTACAAAACATACATTGTAAACATGGTTTTCTATTTTTGCGCAATGCGCATGAGATTTACATGCGACGCTACTATGATGGAGGGAAGAGCGCGGCATCAAGTCCCCTATTATGGAGGGGATTCGAGTAAGAACCGATCTCATTGGAGCCTCCATCATGAAAAGACGTACCGGTGGGAGACCCCACCACTTATGAAACACTTTAACTGAATATACCATAAACTAAAGGAGACTTCTGATTGGACACACTAAGAAGGAGAGATCTTGGCGACGCCATAAGCTACAGGAAAGCTCTCATTAGAGACGCCAAAAAGGAGGGAATTCTCGCCGACCACCGCGTAGCCGAGAGAAGTTGTTAAAAAGACGACGCCGGCAAGGCCCAATCACTTATCTTATCAATAAAGAACAAGTCAAGTAAAACGTACTCAAGCAATCAGAAAATCCAAGAACAGATAATAACGCTAAAATTATTCAACTTACAATTTCCTACCAAAATGTCTGGGATCAGACTTTAACCTCCTTATGATAGTGGATGGTAGTGTTGCTGGCAAGTGGAAGGGGCAATGCAATGCATAGTGAGGCGCGATTCCTTCCACTTGCAGGATGAATTGCTGTAGTGGTAGACGCGCACTGGAGGGGAGAGTCGGACGATACGGCTCTTGCCGCCGGTGTAGCGTGAGCGCCTCTGCTGTCGATGTGGTGGGGAGGACGTCCGTGTTGGGTCGCTGAATACGTGAGTGGGGGGTTGGATCGCGTGGTGTAGAGTAAATATCGGTAGTGTGCGTTACTTACGTGGGCTTTGGACCGCCCTTATACTTGTGGTTGTGAGTGACGTTCGTGGTGCGTCACTTCTTAGGTGATCGTGAGAACCGATGTAGTTGTGGTAGTGATGAACGTACGTGTGCGTTGCTGATTATGTAGGTGACAGGAGTAGTTGTAGTTGCAGTCGTAAGGAACGTCCGTGATGCGTTGTTGCTTACGTAGGCGTTGAGAGCCGATGTAGTTGTAGTCGTAAGGAACGTTCGTGATGCGTTGCTGTTTACGTGGGTGTTGAGAGTTGATGTAGTTGCAGTCGTAAGGAACGTCCGTGATGCGTTGCTGTTTACGTAGGCGTTGAGAGCCGATGTAGTTGTAGTCGTAAGAAACGTTCATGATGCGTTGCTGCTTACGTGGGCGTTGAGAGCCGATGTAGTCGTAATCGTAAGGAACATTCGTGATGCGTTGCTGCTTATGGTGGTAATAGCGATTGTAGGTAGAATAGCGAGCCTGTCGTGAGGAGTGCTTGATTGAACTAGTAAGAGGTGTAAAGGTACCTCAAATTCTTTGCATAAGAATAAGTTTATAATCAAAATAATCAGTTTTTTTATATTTAAAAGTATTCTTCCATTATTTGTACATTCTATTATATTAATGTTTTAGAAATATTAATTGAATTTATTTTGAAATTAGCACAATTAAACAAAACAATAAAGAAAAGTAATGGTTTTCGAATATTCATAATTCTATTTTCATATATAAATTTCATCATTTATTAAAATAATACAAAGTACAAATGTTGAAAAATTAATGAAGTTAACATTGACACATTTATAAATTCTTTAAAGGAACTCCTCTAAAATGAACTTTACATTCCTTATTTGCTCTGATATTAACTAAGAATTTATCGTTAAAATTATAAGTAGCCCACAGTAATTATATTATAACTGAAATTGAATTCCAAAATAGTAGTTTATACGAACAATATACTTAAACCTCGGGAAAACAGTTAGAATGAAATGACGTATTTATATATAATAAACAATTATATACAATTATAATAATATATTTATCTAACTCATTCTACATAATTTCTTATTATAAATAGATACAAATTATTTTATCTCAGGCATATATTCATAAACATATATATATATATATATATATATATATATATCAAGCATTTAGAAACATGCAAGTTCATATGCATTCAATACGTCGCGTGACTTATTTAATTTTAATATTCACCATTATTAATATAAAATTTTAATTCTTCTACAATTTTAATTGCTGCAAAAAGTATTTTTGATACTAATGAATTTCTTGTTTTAATTTATATAATAATCCATATAAGAATCGCATCAGCTTCTACTTTGATCAGTTTCTAAATTTATAAATTGATAGTGACAACTGTAAACCTAAGTTAGTCACGTGATAAGGCCACCCGTCTTATATACTTTGATGCAGTTTTAACTATAATGATATTATAACCTAATTAATCTTTAGAAGTAGTTATTGTTACAAGATATTTAATATTGTTTTCCTAAAATTGTTTAGTATCTACCTAGTTGATAATAATGGCAGTTGTAAATTCTGTAAGTGAAATTTTTGTTTTGTTTTCGATATAATGTAATATAATTTAATTTACTAATTGGATTTAATTATTTAAGTAATTACGATTCGTTTTCATTTATTTAATTTTAATAAATTTTACAGAACTTTTACTATTTGATATTGAATAAAATTTTAATATATTTTAATAAATATATTAGTAAAAAACTAAGAAATAAGACTTGACTCTACGTTAAAAAAATTAGACCGAAAATAAATTTTATATATATTTATAATAATTTATAATTATTATCTCATTTTTAAACTTAAATTAATTTATTTATACTATTAACTTTTAAAATATACTATTAAAATTATTAATTTTTACTATTTTACTTTACGTTAAAGTTCACAAGATACTTCAAATTGAAAGTTAAAGGCAATAGTTTATATTAAAAATAAAAAAATATATTCCTAATTTTAAATAATGATACGTATATCTAACAATCAAAATAATTATACTTAATTGTAGAAGAAACAGGTATACAGTATATATATATATATAGTATTATTTAAATAATAATAAGTTTCAAAATTAATTTAATTCTTGATTTTAGCTTAATAATATATTTATGAAATTATATTTTTATTTATTGTAATATCTGAAGGTATATGTATGTATTAAATATGTAAAATTATTAATAAATATATCTACCAAAATTATTAAGCGATATTAACAAAAATAATTTAAGACTTTAAAAGCAAAGAAACTCTTAAAAATGTTAAAAATGTTATAAAAATCAATAATTGTCAAATATTCATGTACATAAATTATAAAATAATGTTATTACATATTGTATTTTAACCTTTGAAATGTGATATTCAAATTTATATTGTATTTATTGTATTGATTTTTATTATGTATTGTATTGTATGTATTGTATTGAATGTAAATTATGAATAATTTAAATTAAAAATAAAAATATATTAAATGTGAAAATTTTAAATTAGACTTTTGTAAAATTAGAATTTCATATAATAATATTAAATATACTGTAATTAATAATTATTATATAATTAAAAAATTAATTATGTTATTAATATATTATATTTACTATGACAATGATACTATAATAATATTAAAAGTAATTATTATATCAAATATCATTTGTAGTTAAATTGAAATATTTATATCTTAAAAACAAAATATGTTTTTATATATTATTTTTTTTATAATTAAACAATATTTCACTATAAGTAATATTCACGTCATTTGTATTATCAAAATACATTTATGTAAATATATATTCAAAATATTTTTTTTTAAATTATTAAAATTGTAAATATAAACTGTTTTCCAAAATGAGTATTCATTGAATTAAAGCTAGATTTAAACTAGTAATATTTCTATCCCTCACTTATGCAATCTATTATTTAGAAACCTAACTACGGAAAAGAATTACACATGATTTCACAATTTGAAATTGAAAATTCTACTTTTGTTGTAAAAATTTATAAATAGTAAAAGTTTAAGAATTCATTATTATATTTTTTAAATATGAAAAGAGAAAAAGAGAACATCTTGTATGTGGTGCTATGTAATTATGAAATGAATGTGCATTATTTAGAAATCAAGATATAGCTTTATAAATGTAAAAGTGTATTATTTCATTAAATTATTAAAATTAATTAAAATTTTACAAATATCTTTATATTTGACAGCTCTAACATACTTTTTTAAATTTAAATTATAATTTTTTTCAAAATTATCACAAAAATTGTAGTATAATGAGTATGTATTCTTTTTGTGTATCATACAAAGTGTAACAATAAAACAATACTTTTTAGTCATGGTTGTACACAAAAATATTTTTGTGAAAATTTAATTTTACAAACATATTTTTAAACAAATACAAGTAACAATTATTTTTATTAAAAATTTATTATAATTGCTTTTGTTTTCCCAACAATTTTTATAATTGATTGCTAATATATGAAATATTCAGGTATCCAATGTAGAAAATCTTACACCACAAATTACCCGCCAGGTAGTTAGAGAAATTAATGAATTACGTATACATCCACCTGAAGGAATACAAATTGTATTAAATGAAGAAAATATTACAGATGTACAGGCTATAATTGATGGACCAGGTTAGTTATAAAACACTTACTTATTATAATACAACTATTACTTTCAATAATTATTATACATTTTTAAGTTTAGGATATTCATACAATACTTTTAAATAGAGCAATACTATTTCTATTGCTTTTTGTTAATAAGAAAAGTAAATTTATATTACTGGATCTCTTTTAACACTTAGACCTGAGCGACATGGATAAATTTATCTGAAAAAACTTGGATTGCTCGTTTTTTGTATTTACACGAGCTCTAAATTAGAAAGTTTGATTTAGAAATATAACATCTGGTCAACAAGTATATTTTAAAAGAGGCAATGATATTAAAATAATATATTTTGAAATATAAGAGGCATTTTTTATTATGGATAAAATATAAATTATACTTTTAATTATAAATATTTAGCCCCCATCCATAATTTTTCTATTTATATTTATTAAATTTTTGTATTGTATTCTACATTCCTACTCCATATATTTTTAACCTTCTGTACAATATCAAATATTTGACTCGGTTTAAGCAATCCACTTGATAATTATAACCTACAAATGCTCTATAATTTTCGTTTAAATTTATTTTACTTCCATAAGTTACCATAATGTCAATGTAAATTGGGTCATATTGCAAAATATAAATATCTAAATTTAAATAGTAAGCTAAAGAAATTTATAAGAATTTCTATATTCAAATTCAAGGAAACATTAACTAAAGTCTATTTTTATTTTAAAGAAATAAAATACCGTCGATAGAATATTATTAATAAACTCATGCTTCATTAAGAATGGATCAAAATTTTTACGTTAATACAAAGTATAATGTATTTATTAAATATATTATAATTTAAATTATTATACATATACTACTATAAGTCTTGATTAACAAGATGAAAATTAATTCTTCTTTGATAGATTTGAAAATTAAATAACAAAGTTGTGCTTTGAATTTAACTATTAATTGATGTTAATTTGAATACTCTTTGTTTTTATAATTTTTTATTTTTGCTTATATTTCTATACATACATAAAATAGTTAGTGTTTTTTATAACAGAAAGATTACTGTAAGATTACTGCAAAATTATCTTAATTACCAAACTTTCTAAACTCTAGTTTTTCAATGGCTATGATAGACTGTTTATAAATAGAACATTCTAAAGTAACATATGCATCAACTTTCGATTCTCTTTAAAAACAAACAATTGACTTAGCTTTTGTAATAGTTTTTAAGTAGAACTAGATTCGTTGGATAATACTTGAAAATTATAGTCAAATTAAAATGGTTTATATTAAAATAACCATTGTCACATTTATTAAATCTATTACCAAAGCTAGTTGTTTTCATCATATCTAATTAATTAGTGTTTCTAATTATTATATTTTCTATTTCTAATTAATTATAATTTTTACTTATTATGACAATACTTTCATGTTATTCATCGCTTCCTCATTGAATATATTTCATTTACACAATTTGATCTTATACATTAACATTCTATTTAGCAATTTCTTAAATAATATAGAATAGAATGCAAGAGAATATTGAGCAATTAAACTTTCATAGTAGTCATTGCGAATATTAATAATATAAATATACACTTTTTAGTGTTATTATGCACGTATTCCAGTACTCATTTAAAAATGAAATTATTTAATAAAGCTAACTATATAGCAAGTATAAAAAAAGAGCAAATACTAAAAATTTAATTAACCAATTCAAGTATTTTCATGATAATTATGTCTATATAAAAATACTTTTATAATATATCAGTTAATTTTATAGTTTTTAAACTAGTTTTTGAATAATTAAACAATTAATTATATTATTATATGACAAACACTATAATTAAATTATTGTTAAAGTTGGATATTTGAGTACGTATGAACTTAATAATTTCAATATCTAAGAGGAGTTTATATAATTATATATTAAAAAAGTGTTAATTGGAAATTACAATTGTAATTTCAATAATCATAAATATTTCAAACTACAATAATTAGATATTATCCTTGTAATTGTAAGTAAAATATAGTCTTGGTTAAAACAACAAATTCATATCTTATAAATACTCACATGAATAGTATTTTTTATATACAATATATAATTCTATAAAATTAAAAATATATATTTTACGTACAATAAAAGATTTTAGATATAAGGTTTTTTTAAAACTATATTTTCTAAATCAGTTGTATATAGTTATTAAAAATTCTTGATATAAACTTAATTAAAAACTAAATATTTTATATAAAATATTTTTTGCCTACATAACCCTAATTGAGTAGTAATTTGGAGTGGTGTTTTTATATACGAATTTTAAGTTGTCTATATAATATTTAATTTTATTAATAGAAACCATTTTAAATTGAGTTAACTTATAATTTATCACTTGTTTTTTTTTAAATATGATAATTTATTAATAATTTTCATATATATAATCTTCCTCAATATTACTGAGATTTTGATAGATTAATAAAATATTTTATTAAATATTATTTATAAGTGACTTTATCCACTGGCAAATCTTTAAACTATATAATTTGTTTTACTACAAAATGATTAAAAATTTAATAAAAATACATTAGTAAAAAATATAGTTTATTGTCGGTTAAAATCGGTTGTATAGGTTCAAACATGTAATTTATAGATACAAGTATATTAAATTAGCCATTTAATTAAATACATTATTAGATAGTTCATTAATTTCTAAGAAAATATGTATACCGAATTTCTTTTCAAGCAAAAAGGGAACTGAAAATATTACGTTGCTATTAATGTACGTTATGATCAATGTAATAATTTATTAAAAATTGCATTTTTATCCACGATTCTACTTTCAGTCATCAAAGATGATGAATCATCGGCCTATTTTGTTTCAAGTTCGTTTATTCACTCTTTCTTATTCTTGTTACAATGGTCCATCATACCATCCAATTAATTATAAACCAATTATAAGAATGATCAGAAAACGTTCCATACGCAGATATTCAAATTCTAATAATTAGTTTTTGACATTTTTTATGACTATAAATGAATCTTATATGTACTCTGCATATATTTAAAAAAATTACAATAAATTCAATAATAATAACAAAAATATGTTTATCATTTCTATTAATTTTGAAAAAACAACGAAATAAAATGTTTAAATTGGTAAATGCTTAAGTGTTACAGAGTTACAGAAAATCATCTTAGAAAAAAATAGATTTGTAAATGGATTTTTAAAACAGTTGTTTTTCAATTAAAAATTGAGATACATTATATATCTGTTTTACTTCATAAAATAAATAAAATATTTTTAGAGCTTCTTTGCGTGCTAGATATTTTGAATGTTTAAAATCAAAGACGTATTAGTATGTTACATTTGTAAATTCTAATAAATTTAATAGTTGAGTATAAAAATATATTAATTATATATAAAAATTTATTCAATGTTTACTCTATATAAACATTTATAAAATATTTACAATATTTTTTAAATAATTTTGTTTAAAAATCTATATCATAATATCAAATCTTTATATCATAATAAATAATGGTATTGCAATCCGTTCATTATTATTTTGTTATTGTAGCAGGGACGCCATACTTTAGTGGTTCTTTCAGAATAAAATTAACTCTTGGTAAAGATTATCCACAAGGTCCACCAAAAGCATTTTTTTTAACAAAAATTTTTCATCCAAATGTGGCGAAAAATGGAGAGATATGTGTTAATACACTTAAAAAGGACTGGAGATCAGATCTTGGAATAAAGCATATACTTTTGGTAGGTTGTGAATATGTCATTAATTGATTATTTATAAATAAGTTAAATTTTAATTAAATATAATTAAATTACTTTAAATATCTAAAAATAAAAAAATGAACATAGAGATAAGAGTATCACAAAAGTAAAGAATAAATAAATGACTGTCGAATTAAATATATTGATAAATGTATCTTATAGATATTTGGGACTACCTATTCACATTATTTGATCTAGCAGTAACAAAAATAAGAGGGAGCAAATTACTGTTAAACTAAAAGATAATTAAAATAATTATTCGAAGATATACATTGATTACATTGACACATTGAAACACATCTCATCCACATTATCTCATAAAATGAATAAATTATATTGCTGAAGTTCTTGAGGAAAATAATTCAGAAAAATTTATATAAAATGTGATATGCTCCATAATATAATAATTTCTTTGTTGAATGTACGTCTTCTCTCAAATATATTAAATATTGACCGAAAAATAAAAAATGTAAAGTAGTATTTAGTGATAGTCTAAATCAAGCGGCTCTGCGAAAATCAATTATTTTAGTAACGCTGAGTTACTTTGTCTAGTGATATTTATACTTCAGTATAAAATTAGTGATATTCATGCTTTATAATTGTAACTGACCCTTTAGTGTCATTACGTTCTAGGTGTTATTTTACATCATTACTTACATAACACTCTTGGTACTCTTTTACATCATTAGATTAATCACACAATTTTCGAAAAATTTATAAATTTAGTAGTTATCATAATAAATTAATAATAAACTATTAAATCAATATCAGGTTTCTTCTAAGATTCCATATAAAATTATTCACAGAAAGTTTTTGTCATAAAATTATTATATATTGTGAGAATTAATTTTTACAAATATAATAGTTAATATTCTATTTTAGTATAAGTCTTAATGTTTACTTCATTCCTAAGCCTTAGAGATTTCATGCTTTGTAATAAATACATAAAAGTTAACATATTTAAGATTTTTATACAGTGCTTGTGTATATTATTGATACACTGTACCAATAATATAAATATAGTTAGGAGATTAATAATAATTTAATAGATATTTACAATATACAGTTTGTTTTAAAACCATTATATATTATAATAGTAAAGATAAAAATTACATTTTTAAAGAAAATTTGTTAGAAAATACACCATAAATCATTATAATAGAATATATATATCAAAACAATATACTTTCATGTTTTATTTTATAATTTCATTTCTTAAGAGACCTTATAATCAATCACAAGCTTATTCGATGTTTTCGTTCTTATCATTTATATGGACATGTTTTATTCTTTGATTTTTTCACTTACAGTTTTTACTTTGTAAAAAATACAAATATCAATTAAAAATCTATCAATTATAAATTTGAAAATCTTTTATTAACAAATAATTACAATGAAAAATATAAAAATTTATAAACAGTAAATTAATAATAACAGTTACGGTTTTAAAATATTTATTTATATAGTCATTGATAGGCAATTGAGATATTAAACTTCAAAAATTGATAACGTTTATTTCATACCAGTAATGGCATACAAAATAGATAAAAATATATTAATAACTTATTGCATTTTTAAAGAATTTAAATTTTTTGTATTTAAAATATATGTACAAATATTTATGTACATATATATATAACAAAAGTCCACAATTGTATGCAAAATTTCTTTGAGGAATACTATCAAATAAAATATACAACGGAGATAAATAGAAATTGAGTCAGACATGTTAAGATAAAAGAATGACAAATTTCGATAACGCCGATGAGTGTTACTAATAAATTTCAACTTAGCTTCTGGGAAAGCTCACTGAAGTTAATGATTTTAATGCCTATCTTATAATTTTTTCAATAAATTATACATTATTCAACATCATTATTTATCAGTTTTTAATCAATTGTATATAAATTAATTTAAAAATAAATTTGTAATTTCCTATTCATCTCAAAGACTCATAATATGACGTAACTCATAATATGCTAAAGAGTAAAGTGATGGATTTATTTTACACATTAAAAAGTGAGAACGAAAATCACAAGCATTATATTATGTTATTTCTTTGTTTAAATTAGATTCAATATATTATAAGCAAGATATTTTTAATTTACCTTACTAAAAAATGATAAGTGAATTATACTGCAGTAGTAGCATTTATTGGATGCTGGAAGAACAAATAAGATCAAATGTGTGTTGGGGGAATAGTATTAAATTTCAATAATTTGATACATAAATGATTTTCACATTATAAGTACAAAAAAGTGCAAGAAAAAAATGAATACACTATTTTACATTGCTATACATTATTATATTCACGAAGAAAAAAAACATAAATTAATGAAAAAAAAATTTATATTACGTAAACACTAAAATATAAAATAAAACTTTACATGTAAATTGTAAACTATGCAAATACTCATGGTTCATTTGACAATTTACTTAAAAAATAATATAAGACTATCCAGGACTGAAAACATTCTAGAAGTTTAATGAAAAAATTGAATAAATACTATGAAGGTATTTTACCCCTCGATACTTTGATTGTCTATTCTTCTCTTTAAACTAATAAGACTTTCATGTTCACTTACTAATTTCTTTCATGGATTTTACTAGTTTGAATCCAAACTATACGACCTTTTTATAAGCTACGAATTTCTGAATTATTTAGACCATATATTTTATAAGTATATTAAATTAAAATTATATTATTCATTCTCACTAAACTAAATATTTTTGTTAATCCATACTTTACGTATTCCATATTCAAATTTGAATTAACAAACTCAACACAAATTAACAAACAATTACATCAAGTAATACACAATACTATCAATATTTTATAAATTATTTGTAATTATTTCATCTTTATACTATATAAGATTTTGAGTATTTTAGACAGTAAAATGTCTTCTGATAATGCCGAATGCAGAATCAGCTTTAAATGAAGAAGCCGGAAAATTACTATTGGAGCGATATGATGATTATTCTGAACGAGCTAAAATGATGACTGAAATACATGCACAGGTTAGTTTATAAATTGCATCAATTACAAATATATCAGAAATATTTTTAAAACCTTATATTAAATTAAACAGATCTATTAATAATTTAGAAATTTGAATATGATGTATTATATATTTAATTTACTCTTTATACAATAAAAATATAATATACTAGTAATCTATGTGTATAGTAAATTTTCTCCAGGATTCAGTTTTATCTGACCCTCGATGAGAATTCTTGTATTGTCAAGAAATGAAAATAATAAACATTTCAGCATTTCTTTTTATGGAAAGTAAAAGTGATGTATCCTTAAAGAACATGATTTTACTAGAGGATTTGGAAAGTCACTTATAGACACATTTAAAGAACTAAATGAAAAACGCACACGTATTTAATGATAAACAATAAATTCTTGTCTATAAGGAACAATATAATGCAAAGAGATACGCAAAAGGATGGTTAATTTTGTTATTAGATCTGCATCAAATTTGAAATGTATTTGTGCTTTTACAATAAGAATGCAAAATAATGTGTTAGTAATCTATAATAAATATTTACATATTTTAAAATTAGTTTATGTCATTAATGTTATGTTCGGATTCCTCATAAATGGTGATGGATGTACGATGATAGCAAGTGCATAATAATGGAGGCTTATTGATGGCAGCTAAGAGCTTCAGTAAATTATGCAGTATGGAAAGACAAAATGACTGGATTAGAGAACTGATTCAGTGATTGTAGTTTTAGAATCAAAATGAACTCTAGACGCTTGATTTGAAAAGAGAAAAACAATAACTTAAAAATCAAGATAAATTAAGTTCACATTTTTAAAAGTCAAATAAAGTCTAATAAACTTTCCCATCTAAGAATTAAGAAAACACCAATTAAAGATTAATTTCAAGAAATGAGGGAAAATCAAATTAAGCTATATGTTAAAGGATATATCTATTAGATTAAGTGATTAAAAAAGATAAACCGAGTATATATCAGATATAAAAGACAAAAATAAGTTAAGAGCTAAATGAAAAAAATATATCGTCTAAATGAACTTGTAAGATAAAAAAATGAACATGCGCGATACAATAATTCTCGGGAAATATATAGTATAATATTTATTGTAACACAAGTTTTGCAATATGTATACATATAAGCTTCTGTATATCTTATAACTTGGAGTTATTCTCATTATACTATTATTCATCTTTAGTTACAATTTTTATAGTATAGTTTATAATATTATGTTACTATTAATAAATATATTAATTTAATTATCATTTCGTAAATAAAATGTCAAATTATTTCGAATGCTATGTGTTCGAGATTGCGAGACCTTTTTTTTCAATGCAATATAACATCTGGCAAAACAACATCGTAAATTTGTCTTTAGATTTCAAAACTTTCTTGCTCACAACCATCTAGACAATAAACGCGGGAAAAACCTACTCATTAGGCATCTGTACGAATTCACTCCGCTCGGTAACCACTTCAAGCGGTATGTACTAACGAACCCCCCTTCTCGCTGTCAACAAGTTGTCATGCTATCGCTAGATACGTCAGAGGCAACGAGAAATCTTCTTGCCGTAAAGACTAAGAGACGACTATACCCTTAATTAACTATGAAGCGACAAGAGGTGCTGTCCTCGCTCTGTAAGGGCGGAGTCTCTGATTAGACGAAAAATAAGGGAAGCGGTTTAAGTGAAGCTCATGCTCAGCAAATGTATTTGAGGGGCGCATTTTTCAAGATTCAAACACTCTGGATATAGTACTTATTCAAATAAGTGTCAAGTAGAAGTCTATTAACGCAGTTCAAGGCAACAGTCGTTACACGTCCTAGAAGAACGACGACATATTCCCATATGTCCATTAACGCAGTTCAAGAAACTGTCGTTACAAGTTCAAAAGGATCAAAGGCAATCCACCTAGCGGAGTCCGCAGACAAGTCGACGATTAGTCTTTGTAAGTAGTATCACCACTACAATAATCAACTAAAACATAAGATTCAGAATTTACGTTATCGACAAGCAACCAAGACGACCCAGAAGGTCTCTGGAATAAGTCCAAACTCGTCGTCAAGGTCGCATCAACTGATGCAAGACTTTCCGGCCTTACCCTCACCTTAGTTCAAAGCCTGACGCTTATGAATCCACAGTGTACCATTCAACGCTCGTAGCAGTATCCTTCATGAGGTAAAAGCCCTTCAAACTCTTATTTCCATCTGAATTTATTGCAATACGCCAATATCAGGACAAGGTACGCTTGCTACGATATGAGTATATCTCATGTAACAACTACATGTGCTGCGCTCTATTACAACTATAATCTCTATTATATATAACTCTATTATATATAACTACGCACGTGCTCATCAAAACAGCGCGAGTGTCGACGAATCAAACTTCGCGCCATTCTGCGCTCATATTCAAACCATCACGCTGCATTAGATGAGTGTGTGTTTACCACCGCAAACACATTAATACACTACACAAGTTATTTCAATAATTAATAATAGTAATACTAGTCAAGCCTTGTCATCAAATAAATAACAGAATAAACAGCATATACATCAGCCATGATGTATGATCACTTGTGACCTTTCATCGCTATCATACAACACCCGTGATCTCTGAGTTGTCAACAGCATCAATTTGTATCTTTTGAATCGGTCTTTTAGTACATTTTGTACACTATGATAATCAACACAAATGTGCTGGGTAAAAGAGATTGAAAACTGGGGTTTCAACGTTTCAAAGTAGATATCTGTTCGAGTGTGTAAAGAAAAATCTCTCGAATTATATTCATTAGAAAACTTTCGACAGCTATTATAAAAAGGAATTATCGAACAGACATAAAATCTAAGAAAGTCTCGCCAAGGTTGCTGGAGACTCGAAAACGTTTGTACATCTGGAACACTCATAAACAGCCATTTTATTGCTCTTCGTACTGCAGACGTAATTGTTTTGAATGCAATAAACGACCCTTGCAACGTAACATCAAAACCCGACTAGACTGTTCATACGAGTATATTTTGAGGATTAAAATATTTGAAAACCATTGAGTGAAAGACATTTCTTGAAATTCATTGCAACCCGATTCTCGGCACATACGACGCTCGACAATCTACGTCGTACGTGTGCCTACAACATTATGAGAATATCATGCATTGTTGTCAAGTACGCCAAATGTTGCTGCTTGTATAGGCCAAGCGAAGACGCTTGACCAAAAATCACCCCCACCACGATGAGTCCTGGAGAGGAACAAATCTTCCACTTTAGGCCTTGCCGCCAGCGATGCTCTTCCCCATGCCTAATTTCCTCGGAAGTGGGAAAAGGGCGGGTACATTTAACATAACGCCGAAAATCGGCGCGCTCTGCTTTGAAAACTAAGACCAGAAGCTCATTGAATGGGAACTCATGGCAAAAGAAAACTGCCTAGAGAATTCGCCTAGAGAAGCCAAATCTGAAGAGAACACAACGCACTAAATACCGTATCCCTGTGAGTACAAGGATCATCCTGCACGAACTTGCTTTGGCGCGTGCCCTGGTGACCCACTCACCCCTGGACGAGGTTAAAACTACAATATCGCTGTGAGTACACAACTCCGCGCTATCTACTCAATTATTGCCAGCCGACGGTAAAACCGACACAACACGACCATTAACATTATCTCACACTCTCCGACAAGGAGTGTGCAGTAATTATTTATCTTTAAGAATCTTTCAATTCAACATCAATTAATCGATCTCAAGCGCATCTTGTGTAGTGAAACACCTCATACAAGAAACCGGTCAAGAAATCGTATCTTCACATTAGACTCAAGATGATTCCACAACACCCATATGTAAATTGTGTATATAAATTGTGTAATAAATATATAATTAATCAACTCTCACGACTCTTGTACAAGCCCTTCCATCTATCTTCATCCCGGGCGTCTGCTAGGACGGCAAACGAAGCTATTGAAGCATTGGCAGTTCGAGCCAAGAATTATATCACTATATTTCGAACAATATTCAATACAAAAATTATGTCAACATAAAACAAAAAGAATATATTTTTATAACAAGATTGTATTAAAATAGTTTAATATAGATGATATAAAAAAATTGAAGATCGCACCTATTTTTGGTTGTCATCATGATGAATTATGAATGTCAATAAACAGCTGCATTTAAATTAGTTTAACGGATTGCAGTTGTGATGAATAAAAGATCACCTTTCTCTACAAAGGCAGTCAGTGTCTTATTTGTCATTATTTAATTGGTTGATATTGTCAAACTTTTATTATTGCTATATATACTATATATTTCCTGTTATATCTTTAATTATAACTTTTAATTTAAATCACTTGTGTTCCCGATGTATTTTGCATATAATGTGTACAATTATCTTCACTGATGAAATTATTGCCAGTTAATTTCAATACTTTATAAATTTAATATACTTTCTATTCGTAATCTAAAATACCATTATAATAATTTATCATTAAAAACTTCTCCGTTACTCATTATGAATACAACTTAGGATTACTATGAAATCAATTCTTTATCATATTACGCCTGTATTATATTTAGATATTCAGAATTTACTTTACTAATTACATCTGTGTTAGCATGTTATTTACAAACTATAGTTTCTCAAATCTGTTTAGGATAAAACGTGCGTAGTTATTCAGGAGTGTAATTTAACTCATAATTCTCCTCTCATTTGGAAGATAGGAATTATATTCAAGTAAAAGTCTGTAATGAATATTTCTGTGTCAATTTCTGAATGACTGAGCTTGCTCTTCATCGGCAAATTTATACTTATTATGTAAATAAAGCTACTTTTAATTATTGATTTAAAGATTTGGTTTATTACATGTCATAAAATTTATGATAGTGATAATGAAAAGAATTCATAAATTATGTAAATTAAAAACTGATAATACTTATTATTTACGGGTTTGTAATTTTCATAAATTGTACCTTTAAGTATTCAAAAATAATTACGAGAAGAAACCAGCTTACGGAAGTCTTTTATCG